TCCTTTTTTTTCAAGGGTGAGTGATCAAAATACTTTCAGCCTCTGAAAACATCTTTTATTTAACCACAAAAATACAGGCCAAGAGAAAGAATGGTGCTCTTGGATTACTAGTACAATACTTCTCCCAGTCAACGTTGACCCTGAATAGGATTAGAAACCACTGTCAGGATAAGTGAAAACTGATAGCAAGATCTGAAGCACAGAACTGTGCATTGAGATTTTACAAATTTTACGTGCACCTCAGCATTTACTCCAAAGCCCCTACCCTTTCGACTTACCACTAAATAATATGAAATGCAATACTAATACAAGTTCCAAAGTGTACTTCAAGAGGGCAAATCTTATATCATATGCATTCTGCTGTATATGAATAGTGACAAGTTTCTCATCTGGGGGAGCTTGAAAAATCAGCGTAACTCTTCTGAAAGACTATCTACTGCACTTTAAAATGCTACAATAACTGTCATTTAAAATCAAAGGTGCCATACATATCCAAGAACAATGTAAATTCAAATTTTGGGGACATCCTTTAAAACTTTCACTGACAGGGAGAGCCTGTACCTGCTTGTGTAGGTAGAACAACAAGTCACACAGTGTTCAAATAACTGTATGTTTCATACTCTCTTTCGTTAAAGAGGTTGTGGATAGCAGCAGAGAGAAAAACTGCTGGCTGTGTTTCACATAAAAAAAGATGAAGCTGATTCCTTCCCCAAGATGGCATGGGGAATCTCGGTTCAGAAAGCCTTCTCCCATCCAGAGTGGGGAGAGGGACCAGCAAGGAGGGAGGCTGCTGCACTGGTGCTAGCTGGGAGACTAGAGAGGAAAAGAGAGGTCATCTACAGTAGGACATGGGTCTACGGCGCAGGCTTAGGTGATACACAGAAAGTTTCCTAGAAGCCCAGAGAACTGTGCGGAAGGTGTTTGAATCAGAAAGGCGCAGAAGGTTGCTGGAGCAGACTGCAAGGAAACAATCTTGCAAAGATGCTGTTTACAGGAGGTGGATTTATTTTTAAGTCCTTCTGTCCTGTCCAGTTGATCCAAGTTTTCTCTATTTAAAGAGAAAAAAATGTATTCTGTTAGTCATTTTTTTGGCATCATTCCAACAACACGTGGCTTTAGAGAATGAAAGTCTGTAGGTGTGCTCACTGCAGGGAAGACGTGGGACAGCTCCGGAGTGAGGCGCTGGCCTCAGTGGCAATCTGCCGTGGCACAGTAGGTCTGCAGGTAATCCTGAAGTTAGAAATGAGCTTCCTATGGGAGGGAGAATAATGCCATATCCTCAAATTAAGGCACCTATATAGCACAGAGGGACACAGAAGGGTGGGTTTCTTATTCTACTTTTTCCGTTTCTCTTTTTTGAAAGAGAAAGCAAGAAGGAAAGAACGAAGCAAGAAGGAAAGAACGTGGGGATGACATAATAGCACAGAGGTCCTTGACAAAGCCCTTGGAGAAGCTGTGGGACAAAAGTGAATCTTTTCTATTGAACCGAATGATCAAAGGCAAAAAACTGTGATTTTTGGTCAACTCAGAGGTGTCCAGGAGGGTTGGAGGGAACTCCAAGGAGGAGCTTAGCAGAGACAGAACCTGCTTCAAGGAAGGAAAACAAGCACACTTGGTCGAAAGGGAGGGAAGCTGAGCCTCCCAAAATGCCTATGGAGCACGTGAAAAGCAGCAGGAAGATGCTGGGGTACCAGAGGGACACAGGGGCATTGTGCAGCCTAGACTGCTGAAACCCAGGAACAACAAAACAGGCAACATCAGCAGTGGGTCTTTTCAAGTCCCACTTCCCTCAACTGTGGCTCTGCTGGGAGAGAGAAAAGGCTGATAAACCTTTCCATGGGGTGCACTTTTGGAAAGCAACACAGACTGGGTACTATTTCACGCAGCCGAGGATCCTGAAAGGTCAGTGGAAAATGAATGTGGTCTGAAGGTGACCAGGAACTCAACTGGGCAGTATGCGCAAGGAGGGAAAACCAGGTGCCTGATTACCTAGTGTCAGTACTAAGTAGGCCAAGTTTACTGTGTCTTTGTCTGAGTGTGGTTTAATTTTGGGAAGGACGAAGATGAATACACCCACTGTATTGGCCTAGAGACATACGGCACAGTACAAAAGCAATGGGGATGGAGAAAAAAGAGGGTTATATTAAGGACATGGAGCATGCCCGAAATGAAACCCAAGAGGAAGACCTTACCATAAACAAAGAAAATGCTGTTACGGGGACAGCTCAGATAAATTGTAAGAGAAGCCCGGCACCAAGCTTTAGCGATATAACACCACACTTGACAGATCTGTGTGAAAACCAAAACAGATTGGTCAATTCGATGAAGTCTAGAAAGAAACTTCTGGTCATTTAAAAAAAGTGTCTTTCTGTTTATTTTGTAGTTCAGTACAGGTGAGTCTGGATTTTAGCAAGCTTTCTGATATATTTGCCAGATGCCTCAACACTGATTTATGGGCTGCTTGGCAGCAGCAGAAAGAAATATTTCATTCTCTGGCACATTTCAGTAAAAATTTCTCAGCTGAGAAAGGAACCACAGCACCACTGAAAATAAAGCTTTACAGATGCATTTGAAAAAATAATCAATTCTATTTATATAATTTTACTACATATACAGTACAACAATTCACCTTCAAAAAGGGCTATCTCAAGGGGGAAATTCGAGTTTTTGTGAGGTAGAGTTTGTCACTGCAAGAATACACGAAGAGGAAAGATAAAAAGGATGTTGATTCTGCTTTGGCAGAAAGGTGCTTGCGCGACTAACCTCAAGAAGCCCCTTTTGAGTCCTCCTTTTCATAACAACAGCTAAGACATCTAGGAACACATGGAACTGTAATATTCACAAAAATGGACTGCCCATAACATGAGTTGAAATCCTTGACAACTCCAGGCGTTTAGCATTTCTGAAAATCAGATCTATGATATGCCCTACTTGCTAAAAAATATTCAGTAACAAAAGAAATAATGACCGTTATTACTGTTTCTTTAAAGTCCAATGATGAAATCCAAAGAAATAATATATAAAGATCACAACTGAAATGGTTCAGGAATTACAGGCGTAACGTCCCTGTCATATTGCCATGATTGGACTTGTTTTAAACTGCGGCAAATTTGTATTGCAGCTATGAAGTACAATTTCCCAGAATCACCCCACAAATAACTTGAATCTGAGCAGCACTGCATACCCATTACAGGTTGGCTGCATAAATAAATTTATCAGGTAATTATTTTCAACAGACTTTTTCAACCTTTTTAAAATTCACATGTACTTGAATTCCACAAAATATTCAAATGTGGAGGTTGTGCAAGCTTATTATCCATAATCTACCGAATATTTTGAATGGCACATCGCATTACGACAGCTCCCTTTTCACATATTTAGCTCTACTTTCCTAAATGAAATTTGCAAATTTGAGTAGGAAATAAAACTTTCAATTCAAAAATAATAATAATCAGAGCACAGAAAAGGTAACCATATGTAATCTAATTCATGGCATTACAAACCATGTTTATACTCGGTAAATCGAACTTTAGAGTTTTTTGTCATGTCACTAATTAGGGATACAAGAATATAGAAAACTCAGCATGAATGTAGTTTGTGAACTCTGTAGAGGAAGTCCCACAAGTAAAAGAATAAGATGTTAAATAATGGAGGCCATGACATACTGTAGACTGAATGTGGAAGTGGATCACGAGAGGAAAAAAGGTTTGTTATTAATCCATATTAGATACCCTGATACACTTGCTTCAGTGTTAATTTCTAATTTAAAATTAGTAGAAAACAACAAAAAATCACTACGAACACATATGCAGCATCCTGCTTCCTGAAAGCTGAACACAATACACCGAACAAACCTAATTTAATGCAAATTTTTTCAACTATAACATGAGCAAAAGCTGAACAAGCAGGCTGGTCTTACAGGTAAAGCATCAGTCTTGAGTCCAATCCCTGGACAATCACAGCAGGTTTGTGTTACTCACCAACCTCTACCTCTATCTGCTTTACAACATTTGTCAGTGAAGTCTCTCTAGTTCATACAATACGTCAGGGGAGTGACTGACTTGTTTTAACAACCTGCAGAGTGCTGCTGTAATGAAGCACTAACCCTGAGGTAGCAATGGATACAAATAATAAAACATTATGATCAAAGTATCCATTTGTGGAATTCTGTAATTAAAAGCAGAGGAGGAGAAGTATGCTGTAATGATAACGAGTTAACAAGTTCGCAAAGATGAATAAAAAATATGCTCTTAAGGTACAGAAGAAGTAGAAATAATTTTGGTCATGACTACTGAAAAATTGTTCAAAACCAAGGAATTGATTATTTTTCAAAGACAGAACATGAAAATAAAAGTTCAATAATCGACAGTGTTTGGATGAATTTCAGGTAAAAAAACCCACCAAAAAACTAAATGAAATAAAAAAACCTCCAAACCCCAACATGTTTGCTTACTATACCATCAGAATTCAGGAGCAACAATGATTTATCTAAACTATCGTCTTCTTCCTTAACTGCATATTTGTTTGTGAATCAAGCATCTCCCAGTTCTCTTGCTGCAGCTACTAATCTGCCCTGTAAATTCTTGGAATCATCACAAAATCTTTATGATTTGTCACTTCATGACCCCAAAAGTTACTTGCAATAGATAATCTGAGGATCAGGAGTGGCTGCTCTGCTTAGATCCTCGACCTGGAAGATTCAAGTGCTACTGTCAGCCTAGGAATGAAGTGCTAAAGCAGGACAAAGCCATTGCTTTTCTTCTGGAGATTACAGTACGACAGATCATAAAACATTGCATAACATTTAATTAATTTAACAATTCCTTGCAATATAGCAATAAGCTGTCACATAAAATGTGAGTATCACACATTAGAGAGAGAATTAAAGAAACTGTGCTAGAAATGTGAGAATAACTGTTTTCATTGTGCTCATTCTGCTGCAAACTGGAAACCTCCCCCCCAAACCCACAGAATACATAGATTGTTTGGAAAGAACATACCTATTAACTCCTTATTTCGGACATCTAAGGCCATGTTTCGTAAAGCTGTAGCAACTGCACATACCACCCGGTCATTGTCTATCCGAAGCAGTTCCACCAGGATTGGCAATCCTTTTTCTTTGCGGACAGCAGCGCGGATATACACTGACCACTGTAAAGACACAGGAGAGCATGGAGAAGAAAGTGAGAAATCCACTACAGAAAGCAAGGCATCTGAGATTACAACAGATACACAGCAAGGGCTAACAGAAGCATGTGGATGCAAATTTCCCCTCAAAAGAGGGGAAATAATTGCATTTATGATGCTACGCAACCACTTGATTTGGAAATCTGCACTAATTTTTTACAGTGGTAGAGATATTAAATGATGAATTGACTTTACTTCTAGCACACCTGGTTATATTTATACAGCCCAACTCTGCAGACCGCTTGCTTTGCATCAGAATTTCCTATGCAACATCTAATGATGCTCCTTCACTGCTAAAACAACAAACTTTATATTACGAAATATATGTTAAAAAACATGTTCAAGAGGTCTGAGCATTTCTTTGTTATTACCATAAGAACTATTCAGTCTAAAAACATGAAAATGCTGTTGTAATTTCTCTCGTGATTGTCAACTTGTTCAGAAGGAAAAATGAGGATAACACTATGTCTAGTTTTGGCACCTGCAGTGGTCCTAACCGGAAGACTATTGTATGTCAAGGAGTTACAGATTCACATCAGAGTTGACGTGAGGGAGGTGCAGGCCTGTGTTGTGGCCTGTAGCATGTATCACATAGCTGCAGGATAAAGCCAGTGCCTGATCGTACTGGAGAAGCCTGTAGGCATCTCCCATTTGGCAGCTGGTCATGATACCACTGGCATGCCCTTGTCTTTATCTCAAAGCGATGCAGCATGTTCTTATGTGAACATCCTTTTTGTTTGAGAGTAGAAATGATGAAAAGAGTTGTTTTCTTTGAAGAAAATGTCCTAAGAGCTCTAAAGACTATCCTGCTAGCTAACCTCTCCATGGATGGGATCTGTGCAATGTGCTGTGACTAGCAGGTTCATCCAATGCTGCACAACTTGGAGTTCCCAGCATCTGAAGGGATGAAAGATTAACTATACTATCCTCTTTCTCATTCCACTGTTAGCTCCAGAAGTTGGAAAAAATGAAAACAAGACCAAAACTGCGACCTTGTGGTTTTAAACTCTATGGGTATCGCCAAATTTGAGATGTTTGGACACCTGCAGGACGTGCAGGTCTTCTCAGCACAACCACTTCAAAACAAGCCATCTACTAGGCACATATTCCTTCCTACATTCTGAACTCCTCTGGAATTTTCATAAAGTTTACATTCATGCTCCTTGTACTGACAGTTGAAAGGGGTTTACTGAAGAAGAGCTTCTCCCTCCTTTCAGTGCCATGGCATAGATGCTTATCCTGCTTATCGCTCCTGGAAGGTGAAGACAAAGTTCTGGAAGCCCTTTGTCTTTGAAATATTTCAAATGTTTCAGAAACTAGGATGACAAGCCTTGGGATTTTCAAATGATGATGACCCTTCTCTTTTGACAAACTTTCCTTAAAGAACAGTTAGATCACACTTTAAAGAAGAGTTAAATCACAATAGCTTTCCTCCATAAACAGAAAGAGCAAAAACAAGTTCCATGAAGTAAAGCCTTAGAAAAAGGAAAGCACACTGACTGTCAGCAGACCGTGCTTAACCTCTGCATACCTCTGCATATGGCCTCTAATTATCACGGTTGAAGTACTCACTTTAAAAGTTAGCATCTGTTTATACTATAGACATGTGCCCTGAACAGCAAAAGCCAGAATACATTTTTTGTGCTAACAACTGTAGATACAGAGACAGATGAGGGCCACAATGCTGCAGTATCTGGAGTGCAAATTCATTCCAGGTGATGTCATTCTGGGGAAATTGGGAAAAAGGAAAAGAAACCAGCATTTAAAGAATATGATTTTATTATTCCTCCTCTCTAGTAACTATGCATAACAAAAGCCAGCTGGCTGGACTTTGCTGTAGATGAAAGTGAAAATGGTTATGATAAGCTTTCAAGTCAGGTAAATAGGACATGGGGTTTCAGCATCACTGAGCACAGAAACATAGTATGTCTAAAACGTAAATGTGCCACTATCTTCCTCAGCAAAGCAAATAGCTCCTAGGTGAGAGAAGAAGTGGTAGCAGGATTCTTGACTGATCTCATTCTATGGTCTCTCTTCCATCCTCTTCTCTAGAATCAATGTATACAATGATGATCAGAGAAAAAACTTAAACACACCTTAATAATCAGTGAATTTAATTGACAGTATCTGCTGAAAAATATTTTCTTTCCTATACCTTGATTTTAATAGGATATTAAATATAAAGGATGCTGTGAAAACACCAAATTAATCTGTTTCCTGTTTCAATAAACAGGTATTTACCTGCCAGTTAAAACACACTCTCACCTGCATCTGGGAGTACCTAAAACAATAGCTCTTTGCACTTAAAAATGCTGTACTTTCCACACCTCTCCCAGGGGAGGCCTCTGCTGTGTCTGCTGTGATTACAAGGCGGCTGTCGGAGTGAGAGTTCATGGTAGCAGGACGATTTTGAGAAAGTGGTGAGCCTGTCTGGTTGAGGTGAGAGCTCAAGCTAGCAGACAGTATACTGAAAGATGCTGTCGTTCACTGCAAAAGTACAGCACAGATGTAGCGCCTCCAATACGTATTTCATGGAGAATCAGTGGGGGTGTTTTGTTTTTCAAAAAAATCTCACTTCTGTTTATTCAATATCAGAGACAATCTAAAATGATCTTACAGATTATTCACTGTATTATAAAACCCTCAGTAAACAGTTTTCTTTTGATTTTTTTTTTTTTTTTCAGTCAGCTACCAAGGGAAAACACAAGCACTTGTTTTATGAAACCCAGGTTTACAACAGACTTCTTGGGTTATAATATTTTCATCATCCATTCCAAAACAAAAGTCTAAAAGAAACAAATTAAGAAATGGATTTTTTTAACCCTAGGGAGAGTGTAAGACATTGCAGGAGAAACACTGAAATAACTCAGTATGAAAAAAAGATGAAATATAAACCTCCTTACTGGATAAATGACATTCAAGACTTTAGCATCCATAATGAACCAATTAATTTGATCACAATAGTAAAAAATACAGCTCCAAAGTTTTCATAGGGGAAAAATCCACATATAATGTTTTACAGACGCACATATGCACGCACATACATAAAACAATGGTGGAAAGGGCAAAAAGTATGTACAAAACCTCTCCTCTCCCCTGTGCATTTCCCTCCCCCCAACTCTCTTTTTCCAGAGAACGCCATCCGCTTTGGGAAAAGTTCACAGACTCCTCAATGTGTGATTTGCTATCATTTCATCTGCATTTCCAAGTCACGCACCTCAGGCAGAAAGACAGAAATGTCTATTAATTGTTTGAATGGTCTCCGGAGAACTTTCCATGTGGAAAGGGGTAAGAACTGTCTGTGTCTCTTTCCTTAAGCTGCCAATTAGGACGAGTCTCCGCAAGCAATTACGTCACGCTGTGCCGATTTCAGGAACGCTCAAACGGAGATGCCTCAAAAAGGCTATTTTGTTCTCGCAGAGAATGGAAAAACTGCTTCGCTCTTGCGTATACTGATGATCCTTTTGTTTGCCTAAAGCCGTCGTGAAACACGCCTGCATTTCCACATTGCAGGTCAACTGCTAATATGAGCTCAGTGAATTATAAAACAGAAGAGATGAAAAATCGTAAAAAAGAGGCAGAGGGTTTGGTGCCTATCAGCAGGTAAATGAGGCACTCTGCCAACATAATTAATCATCCTGTTACTCCACAAATCAGAGGCAGTGTCGACGATCAAACAACTGTTCAGTTTGTAAAGAGAAAGAGCCCCTACGGGAACAGCAAACACTTTAAAGAGAACAAGGAGCCAAAAAATAAAATCATTACTGTTGCATCAGATTGCGGCTAAATTATCAGAGACAAGCACAGAAGCCGCAGTCTGTGCATGAATCCTCTTTACAGGTAATTGAATTCGGGGAGCATAACCACTATACACCAATTTGAAGGTACCGAGAGCATCTCTATGTCCACTCTCATTAGTAGTTCCCTTTTTATTTTTGTCATAGTAATTAAGTAGAAAAATACAGTAAACTGGAAAATTATTTTTTAGTTTGTCACCGTTATTATTACAAAAGACCCTTCCCAGAGCTGAATGCCCCTAGGGATTAAGATTACATTAGGCTGAAACTCGAAAAAAGAGTAAGTAATCTAGATAAAACATACTTGTATTTTTCAGAAAAACTGAAAAGCATTTAGGCTGTTAGCTCTTTTTAGTGTTTCATATGTTTTTTTATTCTCCTGTGAAGCACCACCACAGGAGACCAAGCTAAAATATGAAGACATTTCCAGCACAAAATGAAAAAAACCCCACAAAACCCCCTCAAGAAATCCCAACAATTGTGTACTCCTGATATTCTGAACAGATTCACTTTCCTGCCATTGACATCAGTGTTATCATAGTACCTCCAGAACATTTCAGTATCCCATACCTCAATTTGACTAGAATTTGTACCGTATTGGTACAGTTCAACACTGTGACTCAAAGACTATTGAAATATCAAATATTAAAGGGAACCGCTGAGACATAAACTACAAAATGAAAGCCAAATCAGGGCAGCAAGCACGGCAACGCAAACCAAATTACCAACAGAACCAGGAAGAGTAGAAAGACTCAGAATTTGCTATGAGAGGCTTAGAAAGGGTCTGTCTGCTAACAGTAGTGGAACAATAGACCATGGAAGAGAACTGCATGTTGAATAATCAAAGATCAATGAGTAATCAAGGATCAATATTGGTCTTTGTCTGATCATACTCAATGTAACACATGCACCAGGAAAAAAAAGAGAATATTTTTACATTCCACTTAGAAAATTACAGAACTACTTTACTGAAGTAATTTTACCGGGAACCCTAAGAAGTAACATCACCTGACAGAGAGCAACGCTCAGAAATCTTGATTATCTTTTCGCAATTTCTGCAGACAGTGAGGACTTCCCAGAGACTTTCTCCTCCCTGACTGCAGTGCTTTGTTTTCCAAAATGATCGCATCTGGTAGGCCAACAGTAAGTTCTCTACCTCTTTGTGCC